CTCGTTCGAGAACGACGACACGTTGTTACGTATCCTCGCGGTTAAGGAAACCGACGCGGGCAAATACGAGTGTTATCTTAGGAGCACCGATCACACGGTTCATCTCTTCGCAGATTTGAACGTCGTAGATTTAACGGCGCCCCGATTGCTATTCAGACCGCAAGACATCGAGGTGGAACTGAATGCCATTGTCGAGATACCCTGCCGGGCTGAGGGTATCCCGAAGCCAGTGATACAATGGAAGAAGGACGGTAGCGCGCTCGAGGGTAACAGGGTCAAGATCACACGCGGAGGAAGTCTTCTTATTTTTAACGTGACTCCGCAAGACTCCGGCAGGTAAGATTGAAACACTAGCATGACCGCCGAGAGCGGTCATTAACTATCATCTTTATTTTCAATGGGAAGATTAAAGGAGTTATTTTTGTGAATGCAGGTACGAATGTTCAGCTATAAACGATTATGGCCGCGCAACCGGCGATGCTTTGGTGCACGTTCGACAGCCCAGTGCAACGGATACACTCGTCATACGAGCCTTCCAAAGTGCCACTGAGGAGATCGATCGTGCTATTAATAAAACGTTATCGTCTCTCTTTAATTCGGACGGCTCATCGAAACACGTTGATCCATTTCGTTTGATACGATTTCCGAACGCGATCGATCGCGCGGCTGCTAGACCCGCCGAGCTCTTCGAAAGAACTCTCATCAATATTCGACGTATGGTGGATACTGGCAGTAAAGCAAACGTGACTGGTGAATTCCGTTACGAGGAAATCTTAACGGCTGAACAGGTAAAGTTGATCATCAAGCGTACACTATCATGCTACGTATGTATATGTATCAGCTGAAATTACACTGAAATTACGCTGCACGTCCCGTTGCAGGTGAAGGAAATCGAACGATTGTCCGGATGCACCGGTCATAGACGTCGGCAGAATTGCACCAACAGGTGCTTCCATCACAAATACCGGGCTACAGACGGCAGTTGCAATAATCTGCGCCATCCTACTTGGGGTTCGTCGCATACAGGATTCCGGAGGGTATTGCAACCCATCTACGAGAATGGATTCTCGATGCCGGTCGGTTGGGAGAAGGGACGACGATACTACGGTTATCCGAAGCCCGCTGCACGTCTCGTGTCGACCACGCTAATCTCTACCCACGCAATTACGTCAGACGATCAGATTAGCCACATGGTGATGCAGTGGGGTCAGTTCCTGGACCATGATCTCGATCACGCGTTACCGTCGGTATCGAGCGAATCGTGGGACGGAATAGATTGCAAAAAATCCTGCGACAATGCCGCACCTTGCTTCCCGATGGAAGTGCCGCCAGGTGATCCGCGCATCAGCAACAGACGGTGCATCGACTTTATCAGAACTAGCGCTGTGTGCGGTTCTGGCGCGACCAGTATACTATGGGGCGGCTTGATGCCTCGAGAACAGCTGAATCAATTGACCAGCTATTTGGACGCGTCGCAGGTCTACGGCTACGACGACGAGCTGGCGCGCGATCTGCGTGATTTCACGACGGATCGTGGCCTGCTCCGGGAAGGTCCCACACTTCCCGGTCACAAGCCTCTTCTTCCATACGCGTCTGGTCAGTTTGTCGACTGTCGTAGGAATCCACTGGAGAGTTCGATCAATTGCTTCGTAGCCGGTGACATTCGTGCCAACGAACAAGTCGGCCTGCTGGCCATGCATACTTTATGGTTGCGAGAACACAACCGCATCGCTCGCACGCTACGCGAGATGAATCCACACTGGAATGGAGAAAAATTGTATCAGGAAGCGAGACGTATCGTCGGCGCAGAGATGCAACACATCACTTATCGACACTGGTTGCCGCGAATATTTGGATCGGCGGTCGAGGACTCTATGTTGGGACCATACCGAGGCTACGATCCCAACGTAGACGCCAGCATATCTAACGTTTTCGCCACCGCTGCTCTACGTTTTGGCCACTCGCTCATCCAACCGCGTCTAGAGCGGCTGAACGCGTCCTACCAACCAATTCCTCAGGGTCCTCTCAATTTGCGTGATGCCTTTTTTGCGCCTTGGCGACTAGTAGAAGAAGGTGGCGTCGATCCGCTGATCCGAGGTATGTACGCCACAGCGGCGAAACTGAAGCTGCCCGAACAGAATCTCAATGTCGAGCTCACCGAACAGCTATTCCGTACCGCTCACGCGGTTGCGCTCGATCTAGCGGCGATGAATATCCAACGAGGAAGAGATCACGGGCTTCCCGGCTATGTAGAGTGGCGCGATTATTGCAACATGTCGCGCGTCGAGACGTTCGAGCATTTGACTAACGACATCAGCAGCGCTCGAGTGCGGCAGAAGCTGCGCGAATTATATGGTCATCCGAGCAATATAGACGTTTGGGTTGGTGGTATTCTCGAGGATCAGTTGCCGGGGATGAAAGTTGGACCGCTGTTCAAATGTCTCCTACTGGAGCAATTCCGGCGAACCCGGGATGGCGATCGGTTCTGGTACGAGAATCCAAGCGTCTTTCGCGCGGAACAACTCGTCCAGATTCAGCAAGTGTCACTAGCCAGAATCTTATGCGATAACGGCGACAACATCACTCGCATACAACCCAACGTGTTTCTACTGCCCGTAGAGAGTCGTAATGACTTTGTCAGTTGTGACGAGATTCCTTATGTAGACTTGAACGCGTGGTCTGACTGCTGCGAAAATTGCGAAGATCGTGATAATACTATTTCCCGCGTGCGTAGAGAGGCTGAGAAGTATTTTGCACCCAGTCGTGACTACGAGTCGTTGAGTCGCGAAGAGAAAATCGAATACTTACAAAGGATGTTTGATGAAAGCAATCGAGAGGCTAAGCGTTTGCAACAACAGTCTGACAATTTGTCACGAAGAATGAAAGAATTCGAGTTACTTTTAAAAGACATTAAAACACAATAGAGAAATTAAGTGTGTACTTGGATCATTCTCTCTCTCTCTCTCTCTCTCTCTCTCTCTCTCTCTCTCTCTCTCTCTCTCCTCTCTCTTTCCAGCAGATAGTAACGCTCTTGCATTTTTAATATATGCCATATTCTTTATGCATTTATTGTTGTAAATAAAAACATTTGCAAAAACTTATAGCGAATTCGATTGGCCGCACTCAGTGTGCACTGATGCACATTAAAGTCATCGTACACAAAATAACGTAAAAATATGTTTACACATAAACATAGAAATCGATTAAATCCTGAAATACTCAATATATTTTATTATACTATTAGATAAAATATGTATTTTATAATTCGAAATATTTGCATTTCACTTTTATACTCAAATAAAATCAGTGTACAACGGCTTTAACATGCGCATTAGTTCTTCCAATCGAATTCGCCATTAGTTAATTATTGGCGTCATTTCTTTTAGACTAATGCAAATAATGTTAGCAAGGAACACATGTATAATGCGATGTAAGCCGAATCATGCATCATAACAAAGTTTAAACCATTTTTATAATAAATCTTTTATATATATATATACCATTTTGGTACAATCGTACATGCTTTAAAAGATACCTGTGAAAATTGTAGTCATTTTAAACATTCAGTTGTTGTTTACAGTCATTTGTACTAGTCGATGTATTTTTATAAAAATGGAAAAAATCGAATATCGGTACCGTGATTAAATTCTTGCATTTGGAAGACAATACGCCTGCGCAAATTAAAGTCGCTGTTTACGGAGATTACTGGGACTCTGCCTCATTATTTGCTACTGTGAAAAGATGGGCAGCTGAATTTAAAGGGTCGTATCAGCTTGTCTAATGATGAGTGTTCGGCACGACCAACAATTGCGACTATCACCGATAATATCGAAAAAGTTCACCAAATGGTACAATTGGACAATCGTTGAAGGTTAAAGAGATATCAGAGGCTGTGAGTATATCGAAAGAATGTGTTTATCATACATTGATGATGAATTAGACATGCGTAAACTAACCGCGTTGGATGCCGCGCTTGCTCACTGTGAATCAAAAACGCATTTGAATGAACATTTCCAAGGTTCTGCTGGAGCGGATTTTTTAATGCGTCGATTAATAATTGTTGGTGATGAAACTTAAATACTATTTCATTCCTGAGATGAAGGAACAGTCAAAATAATGGATTGTGAAGGGTGAACTTGTCGATTCGAAGAAAGTGACGACGAAATTTCATCGGCCGGAAATGTGATGGAGATTTTTTTTTGGGGGGGGGGGATAGTCATGGAATTATGTTCATCGATTCACACTTATTAACAATACTCTTATGCGAATAACACATCACAATTTATATACTCTTTAATTTGTATATTAGAATATACGACTTTCATACTGATGAAGATTCAAAATAAGGATCGAAACATTTATGTACTTATTTATGTTTAAAATAAAATATTATTTGCACCCGTACATCTAGTGCTGACTCATACAGGTTTTTTACACGCATTATAGATGTTCATTGACTATTTTGAAAAAGATAAACAATAATGGAAGTGTACTACGCATCATTAATTGACAGGCTGAAGACGGAAATTGTGAAAAAACGATCGTATTTGAAGAAGAAAGTGCTGCTTTTCATCAAGAAGCACACTGTCTCACACTTCAACAGTCGCCATGATAAAAATTCATGAATTTTGGTTCAAATTAATTGATCACCCACGTATTCACCAGATCTGGTCCCCAGCGATTTTTTTCTATTTCAAAGTTTGGCTCGGAGGGCAGAGATTTTCATCGAACGAACATGTCATCGCATCCGTAGAAGCATATTTTGCAGAACAAGACGCCAAATATTATTTGAATAAATTAAAGAGGTGGGAGCATCGCGCTGGGAAGTGTATCGACTTAAAAGGAGATTATGTTGAAAAGTAAAACTAAATTTGATCAAAAAATACTTATTATTTCTATGTTAGACTCAAAACTTTTCAAACGACCCTTCCCCCCATATACACACACACACACACACATATATATATATATATATATATATATATATATACATACACATGTAATTACAATGTATTCTACTCTTTATTTTATGTACATTTATCGACATTTGAATCAAACTGATAATCTTTAGTTTCATTGCGTAAGTGACAATCCAACATATTTCGTATGTTGTCCACGAGCAACAATATCCTTACCGTCGTTCTTTGTAAGCTCTACCGCGAGAAAAACCAAATTCTTTCCGGAACGTATAGTTTTAGCATCAACAGTCACTGTTTCACCAGGAAATGCAGCCTTCAAAAATCTGTGCCATTATATTAATAATTATTCTGTTGTACAATATAATAGAATATATATATATTTTTTTTTAACTAATAAAAATTATAGTAAGTTATATACAATTGTTATATTCAATTTCTAGTCTCTAACCAACATCTATCGTAAACTACATATGCGTTTATATTAAAATGTAAAATAACATAATAATGTAGTAACCCAGATAGCAAAGCATGTCTCAACAAAATCGAATAAATCTGTGATTGCTTATGAGCAATCGCTAGCTCGTAACACGTCGTAGATTTGTCTTCAACGATTTCGAATATATATATACCTATATTATAGCAACATGCAGACAACAATATGTATATGTATTGCCATAACAGTTTAATAGCAAGATAGTTGTGTCAATGTCATCTTGCGTTGTCAGCAATATGACAGCATTGCATGATGCTGCATATTATTATGCAACATAATGGCAATAGTATGAATTTTGATGATGATGATTTTAAAGTTGGCAAATTGCTATTCAATGTTGTCATATCGTGAAGGCATCAAGTTGTCAACAAATGAGGACTCAGTTGCTGCAATTCTGGTAGCAACATTTATAGCAATGCATACTTAGCAAGCAACAAAATAGATGTTGCTATCTGGGAACTAATAAATAATAAAAAAAACATGACAAACAAAATAAAATAATAAAATTTCAGATCAAAATCTTACGTTACATGCAGATCTACAGAAACACCAGGAGGAGGATCAGTTTTGTGAGTCATTAATGCATATGTAGATACACAGTCTATAACAGTAGTAGTAAAACCACCATGTAAGAAACCACCAACATTCAAATGCTCCTCAGCCACAGTAAATTGTGCTTTGCACTTTCCATCGCCAGCTGACAACAACTTTATCTGTTCGGAAAAAAATATATATTGCATTATATTAATATTTTTATTTACATTTAGTAGCAAATGTAAAAAAATGTATAACACAAAATAATGAATAGGTTAGATCTAATTATTAAATATTAATAGATTAAATGAAATTTTTTGTACTTACATTTTTCATACATCGACCAAAGCCTTTGCTATTCGCTACTTTCTCCAAAACATTTTTTATAAGTTCCATTTTACACGACATAATCTTTCCCGTATTCAGAACACACGTTTATGATATTAGTGCATCAACATATTATAGTTACGTACGTATTAGAATTTTAAAGATGTAGATGTAGACTCGTGTTTAGAACGCGCTTACAACGATGTTAGCGCTATAATTTACATTACGCATACTATTGGGTCATCTAAAAAGTATCCGCGGTTTTTTGTCACTAGATGTGTTAATGGTCATATATCTAGTGACAAAGTATCGCGGATATTTTTTAGATGACCCAATATAAACTTTTAGAGATAAAAGCGCGCTTTTATCAATAAAATAATAATAATTTTATGATTTATTAGTTTCGTAGATGTGTATATAATGCTTAAAATTTTAATAATACTCGATTTTTATTTAAAATTGTGATTTTTAATGTTATCATCTGTTTGTTGAGTTTAATTATCAGTAGAAATGCTGTCAGAGAAAAAATTGTAATTTTTCGACAATAATATATAAGATATTATAGCAAATTAAAAGTATGCGTACTTGTTTATATGGGCCCGTATTCAAAATGCGCTTTTATCGATAAAAGCGCACTTTTATCTCTGAAATTCTTTAATATGCGTGACATAAAATATAATATATTAGTTGCTAACATCGTGTTGTAATGTAATGTACGGGCTACAGTATTTATATAATTAAAAAATCACGAATTTAATAAATGTATTTTCGAAATTAAATGTATTCGCCGAAAATTTGCCGAAAACTGATCGCGTCTTTATTTCGTCAGTAGTCACAAAAATTTGCTCAAAGCCCAAAGCTAATCGTTTTTAATGTATTAGTATTTCGATTATCGGAAATATAGTACATAATTATATTAGGATAAAAAATTGGAGGAAAAAAAAGACACGAAATGACAAAAAAATCAGAAAAAAATTATTTATTTAAATATACTTGTAGTAATAAATAATAAAAATAAAAATGTAAAAAATCGATCAAGAACAATTAATAGGGTTACCCTGACCATCTAACAAATGATCCTGTGGATTATTGAGATATTTAGGCCCATCTCCTATTTTAGTGTATATCATATATTTAAGTTGTCCTGGTGGATACTTTTGAAACTTTAATTTCTCCAAGAGATCCTATACAAGATAATACGTGTAACAAAAGATATTTCACAAATACACATTTAAATAATGTATCTACATATATCAGTTGATATATACTTGAGAAGGTTTAATTTCTTCTACAGGTAATCCTCTTCTATATTCAATAGCGTTTTCAGGAGGAAAGAAGTGATCTAAAACACCTATCACTGCTGATACATCTTTCTCTAATAAATATAACGTAGCATTTGGCCCAGCATCGTAAGTATAAGCAACCTAACAATGTGTCTCGTTAATAAAATAAAAAGTATCCAGCTATTTTTATGCTATAACTTGTAGAAAAATATTTTATATACCTTTACATCATTAACTGCATCATTATAGGAATGTACAAGATTCATGATATTGTTAGAAATATTGTTCATATAAATGCATGGAGGATATGTATCCAAACATACAGCATGAAACTGATTAGAATCCTTCATAGTGAGTTCGGCAAAATTTTTGAAATCCTTCTCAACGATTGCTTGTTGCATTTTATTTGCTCGTTCCGGGACTACATGCATTATTCTATGTTGCAGGAGTTGAGATGTTTCTATGCTTCGTTTCATACCTATTGCACTTGGAACTTTTTTTTGTTCATCGCTAACCTGTTGATTTATATTTTATAAATATCTCTGCTATCTCTCTTTGTTATCATATCTACCTTTCTTATCAAAACAGGTAGAAAAAAATTTCTTTCTTTACCACTAGCACTAAAATTCTCATTTCAGACCAATGAGACGCAGGTACGATTTGTTTTGCTAAACTGTCTGTCCCATTCTTATCTGAACCCATGTACCATCTTACAAAACCACCCATAACACTGCGACATGCTGATCCAGAACCAGAACGCGCTATAATACTAATGTCTCCCTACAGAGATGTACAATATTCAGAATACATACAATATAATTTTAAAATATAAAAATATTAAATGTATTGAACGGAAAAAATAAATTATCATACTTCTATTTTATAAAGCTTGGCTAATGCTGCTGTAAGACATGCATATCCTGCAGCACTAGAAGCTAAACCAGCAGCGGTTGGAAAATTATTCTTTGAACATATACGAATCTTCCAATCGTTTGTATACCCAGATAATTGTGAACGTTTCCTAACTTAAAAAAAAATCTTAGTTTAATTTACAGTAAATATTTTTAAGAAATTTCTATGCACTAACTTACTCTCTTTTAAACAATTTTGAAGTCTTGTATTGTTTATATCTTCTTCTCTGAAAATGTCAGTTTATTACACATAAAAAGAATAATAATAAAAATGATAATTAAACATACTTTCCATTCAGCCAGATACGATCTTCTTTGAAATCAGAACTGAGCATAACAGTAGTTTTTGCATGTAGCTATAAAGAAGATACTATTAATATATTCATATCTCTAATGTATTTGCATCTTCTCCTCATACATTTAGAACTTTAACTTTAAATTTACCTGAGCTGTATCTAAAGTTGCACTTATGGAATCGTTAGTTGGTAAAATTAAGGATTCATTCCTCTTTCCCCCTAAAATCATACAAATCTAAAATGTTAATTTTCACTCAGAAAAACAACAGGATAAGAAAAACATGAGAGTTAAATATTTCCATATCAGTATTGTAACTAGCTTCTTACTACTTTTTACCGATAGCTAATCAAATTCAAATATATTCATGTAGCACAAACTTTGAGCGAATCATGATATATTCAAACGTATATATAATAGAATTAACTATAGCTTAATAATAATTGACTTGTATTTATTACTTATGTAATAATGTAATTTTCGAAAGCGAATATCAAAAATATTTTTTCTAGATAATTAATTGCGACTTATAAACTTGTATCTTTTTTTTCAAAATGTATATTGTGTTTATTACTTCAAATTTATTAAATAATAAACAATTTACGATTTTATATGTGACAATTACATTAATAGATACACATCAGTAGTAGTAGTAGTAGTAGTAATTAAATTAATGGCTTCTGCTCTTAGAGAAATAAAAAAGCAGTTAATACAGCCAGAACAAATTATAAATTAAAATAATGAATGCACGTTTAAAACCGGTCACAATATACTTTCAAAAATATAAAAATGATGTAATATTTGGACCTTGGACCGAAGCAGACATCCGCTTCAGCTGAGAAATCTTTCAAGCTAAGATACACATCAGCAAAAATTTTAAAACACAACAATACGTATACATATTTATGTGTGAATTGTATATATGCATATATGTATGTATATACATATGTATATAGGTATACAATATATATATAGGTATACACGCGCGCGCGCGCGTGTGTTTGTATGTGAAATATATCTGTCCTCGAAATATAAACAAAAAACTATAATGAAACATTTCAATTTCTCATTGAACAATAAAGCTTTAATTATATATGCGTACAATATTTAATAACTGCAATATTAACTGGTGCAATGCAAGTAACAGTAGTATTCATAATTGGCGTTGATGTTTAACTGTGCGACTTCCAAAGTTCAAGTTTCACTCCGAATCCAATCACTCTCATCACTATCGGCTGTTACCAGAACTGCCGGCTCGCTGAGTAGAGTCCTATATATACAGAAACTCGACATGATGTCCAAGTTTCTAATTGGCAATCCGATATGTGTTCTGATTGGGTATTCCCTAAGTGAAGCAGCCATATTGTGACCGCAGCTGTTTACAGTAGAGACCTTTTAACTCCGTTCAGCGGATTTAACAGTCGAGTGAGTCCTCGCTGTTATTGGTATATTCTTCTAGATCTAAAATTTTGATTGGATGAGAAAGCTAAAAGAATACACCAATAACAGTGAGCGAATAACTTACTCAACGCATTCTCTATTTCTATTACACATTGTGTGATTTCACTCGACATAAAAGCGAAGCAAATTGGGCGATCAACTGTTGAATCCTGCTAAATGCAGTCTATGCTTATATTAAATAAATTGATTTGTAAAGTTACTCAGTTCTCGCTTTTATTTTTGACTAAATTATAAATAAAAAAAAAGACAATCTTGAACACACAGTATGCATTCCTCTCGAGCAAGTGCGAGGAATCAGAGTAATATATATCTGTGTGTGCTGTGTGTGCTCTATGTGTGTGTGCGTATGTGTGCTCTGTGTATGTGCGTGTGTGTGTATGTGTGCGCGTGCGCGCATATACACATAATTATTAGTGTAATCTGTAATAAATATTACATCCAACAATATACAATAAAACATGTACAATAAAAATATTAATTTTTATAAACTATGCTGGGTTAGATGGTAATCCCATGGACCATGCGTCCAGCAACTTTTTGTCCTGAGGTCCAGCACCCAAACTGAGCATAAGTCCAGAGAGATCGCCACGATGGCCTCGTCCACGCATTGCATGAACAACTTTTGCAATACTGCGCACAATAATAGAATATATATTTCATTACTATATTAAAATATGTGATTTAAGAGAGAAAAAATACATGTTCAAACATAAATAATTGCATATATGTATATGTTTAAGAAAACATCTGATATCTCTGTTTAAAATCAATATAGAAGTGAAACAAATCAGTATATATAAATGACAATAATTCATACTTGGCCCATTCTTCCTGAAGAGTTGCAAAGTGTGCTTTGAGAACAGAGTTTCCAAGTTTTTCATTATCGAGTGATTTTTCAATTTTTGTTAACAGGGTCGGAAGTTTTGTTGGTAAAGAACCAGTCCACTTAACTATATGGGATTTTGCATTCTCAACTTTGTGTTCATTAAGTATTATATCTAATCTGCATACAGTTGTACAAGGTAAGGGAACTGCTACTGAAGTATCTACACCTAAAATTTAATTTAATGCAATATTGTTATAAAATATTTCTTTTATAAAATATATGTATATATAAGTTATGCTTTTTATAATAGTACAGTACCGATAAAGTTACATGTGTCAGGATCCATGTATTCCAATGTTTGTGTATTTACCCGTCGACACGCTCTTGGAACAAGACTGCTAAGTCCATACAAAGATTCCAATCTTTGAATCTTTGGGCCTCTCACCAAGATTTGAACACCAGTTAAACAGGAATACAGCAATTGATTTCGTAAAATTACAGCAGTAGATCTTTCTGCAATTTCAGAAAATTCCGGCGAAAGCTCAGAGTCATCCCAGTTAAAATTAAAATTTACTGGCAATTTTGCGTTCAATAAAGTAAAACCTTCTTCAGTTTCTGTAAATTATATTTGATATTATGACTTTTTTCCCCATTAGGAAAAATATTTATTTTAATACCGATTGTTATATTATAGATAGAAGAAAATAATATAATTATAATTGCTAACCAATTTGATGTTCAAAATTATAATTAAGTTCATCATCTAATAAACTCATTGGGAAAATTTCTATAAAATGTCTCGCACCAGCACTAAGGATCCACACTAACCACATGTGAATTCTGAAATATTTATATATATATAAATATTTCACGCGCGCGCGTGTATAATATATAATTCGAATGTAATTATAGCAAATAATTGTAAAAATTGTACACATTTTATTGCGATTTACAGGATGCAGGATTAATGTAACACTTACCTTACAAAAACATGCTTCTCATTTGTTATATCGGTAAGTGTTCTAGATTGTTTAATAGAAGTACTATGACAGCTCATTCCACCGTTTGCTGTCAATCTCATTGCCCTTTGCGGACATTCTGCTTCTTCCACATTATATCTTCTCTCTGCAAAATCTTGTAGTTCTCTAATTACCTCTTTTAAATTGTCAATCAAAAATGGCCACATGTTCAACAAGAATTGTTTATCTCTCATAAAAACGATAAAACTGCACCATCTTCTAAATCCTCTTGCCTATAAAGAAATAGATGTATCATTCTTTAAATGTGCCAGCATAAGAATGATAAAACAAAAGTGTGATAAAATCTTTAGATTCCAGAACAATTTTAAATAATAGCATGATTTGAAAAATTTGTTGTAATAACTACCAAACATGCTTTTTCGTTGCATAATTCACCTGGGCATCTTTCAATGTAAAAGTATGACTTAAAACATGCCCCCTGTACTCATCTCCAAAGTAGCAAACACCTTCTTTACCAGGATGCACTTCACAACTTAGACTCCTTGAAAAAAGATTTATAATAATGAGCTTTAAAAAACTGAAAGCATACATGTATCATATATTTTGTGTATACTTAATATCAAATATGAAACTTTAATCTTTAATAAAATCATTATGATTTATGAATAAAATATATTAATATATAATATAAAATATATTTCATATATATATATATAAATTTATATCCTTGTAACAATTTTTTAATATGAAATTTGTAAACCAAAAAATATAAAAAACACAATATACCTAATGCAAGCATGCTTTAGCAGATTTCCTATATCTTGCATTAATGATTGCTGAGCAGACAAAAAAGATGTTCTTGTTTCATGCTCATTACTTAAATATTTAACATTCCCAATACTTTGACAGCCCTCGCATTCATCTTGTCCATCCTCCAAGATAGCATGACTTTGTCTCAACACTTCTTTAGGTCCATAAAATTTTAGTTTTTCTGTATTCTGTGTATCATAGTTACGATAAGTTTGTGTGGTAAATATCACTTTAGGTCCATGTATTTCACAGAAGGTGCACAATGCAATTGCAGCATTCATCGCTCTCGGGAAATACAAGCTTCTACAAATCCTTCGTATTTACTTCAAAAAACAATCCAAATATTATTTATTATGATTCTTCGCATGATCTTGGATTGTTAAATAAATAGAATAGCCTAGAAGTATATTCTTTATAAGTTTTATGCATTCTACAATCTGTATCCATACATACAGACTTATATATGTAATAAATGAATAGAATTATTTTCTATTATAATAATATTATTGTAATATATATTATAAAAATATCTAATAAATTAAAATGATGGTTAAATTCCACGAAATATGTATTATTAGACATTCATAGAATGTGATCTACATGAACGTAATTGAATATTTATGTAATTACAATTTGATTTACAAGATTAAATCAATTTCTAACATAACCTCTGTTAAAATACTTTTATAACACGTAAATCTATCATTTACCTGCTTCTTCGTAAATTGCTCAGCAAGACTTCACGACGAAGTTAATTTTTTTCATCCTTTTCACGTGATAAAACAAAAATGAAGTCGGGACAGAGACACGTGACATTATGATAGCTAATCTCGACATTCACACAACGAATGCGCGCATACGCCACATACATAAATGCATACATACATACACACATACATATCTGACATATACATATGAACAAAACTAAATTTACACATTTGCATGTCGGGTTGTCAATTGAAAGGTGCTATATCAAAATAAGTCATATAAATAGACCAATATAAATTTTATATCAAATACGATAAAGAACACAAAGATCGGTCAAATTTTAGATGTTACAATTAACACATTATATATTCTTTTATTGAATCAATTTATTCCAGATATAATTGCGATAACATTTCGTCATTTCAACACAATCATTCTACGCTAATAATCCCCTCTAAATTAAATTAAAAAGAAAGAAAGAAAGTAAGAAATTTATTGCGAAAAATATTAGTCTCAGCCAGGATAAATTTTATATATATACATATAATATAAATTGTACATATTGCATTGCATATCTTACACTATTTTTTGAATAACTAAGATATTAAGAAGAAATATTAAGGAATAATATTAAGGAGAAATGAAAGAAAACTTTCTTTTCTCTTCTATATATCAAATTCGTAACCAAATTTCAATTTAACACCTTCATAAGCAGCTCTCATCCATATGCCTACAGCATGTGCTCCAGGATGTGGATATTTGAATGTCTACACATTTATAAATTATGATAAATTATAATTCTGCTCCAAATTTAACTATTATATGTATGATGTACATATGTATACAAAACATTAAAACACTCAAATAATACCTTGCAATTATTTGTAGAATCAATAGAGAGAGATCTTGACATATGTATAGTTTGCATAGCAAAAGTTTCGGCAGCTTTGACAGCTTCCCCGAATGCATTGATAGGATTTAAACCAGAACTTAATGCGTCTCTTAATTTATTTTCCGCAGGTATCAAAGCATCCAACATGGTTCGATCACCAATCGATGTCCCGCTAATCTCAGATATCATCTTGTTTGCAGATGTTAGAGCGGTTAACCACATATCGATAGTCACTTGATCATCATTCCGAAACTTAAGAAAACTCTAAAATATTTGTTAAAATTTCTTAATCTTAAAGATGAAAAAAGATTGTATTGTTGATAATCTTACTTTAGCAGCAGTATCAAAAAATAACGAATATATTCCACTTTCTAAGCTACCCATTTCTTTTTCAATAATATGGCTTATTTGTATAAATGTTACAAAAGGTCTCGTTGCTAAAATTCTCCCTTCCTATGATACAAACAAATATTTACAATTGTTGAAAAAAAGAAGATTTATAGGTACTTTATTTCATTCATTGCATAACCTCGATTGCAAATTTTATAGCATTGGCACTTTGCGCAAGTATAGTTCCATAATTTCCATCACCACATTCTCCATCCATTATATCAAGTTGTTTTGCACATGCTATTAAAGCTTGACAGGCAAATGTTAAAACTATAAGAAACGCTGAACTATTCTGAGGTTGCATTATTGGTCCTATATTGGATACATTGTCTTTACACGCCGCCTGCAATTAAAAAACTTACATTATAAACAGTAGAATAAAAATCATTTACAATTACAGAATATATGTTTGAATTTATAACTAGTATGTAATTTGACTAGTAATTAAATTAATTAAATTGATATTACCTGGGAATTTTGCTCTTCCACTTTATGTAGCATTTCGTCATCTTTCATCATAAGCGCGCGAAAAAAACGTAATAATTGTAATTTTATTTCTATATTTCTAAATTACACTACGCGCGCCGATATTGACATGTGCATTCACATAGATACATACAACTGCATCTGACTAGCTACTATATAGAATAGAAATTTTTTATTGAATTGAAATACTGAGCAATACTGAGCTCTACGAAACAACATGGCGACTCATGATCAAATTTTCATTGGCTCTCAAATATCTGCGCGTCATGTTTATAAAAACAAATAGTGAATAATGAAATGTTGAATCTGTAATAACATCATCATAAATTTAATTATTACACTACCCTAAAAGTGTTATATTTTATACATATAGTTTATATATATATATATCTAAATAATATTTGAAAAATACTATATGCATGTATAGTATATATAATATTAAAATAGTAATTAAATAAAATTTATATTATATACGTAAATTTAATTTATATAATGATATTATCATAAATTAAATATATTGGACACAATAATTGATAAATTAGGATAATGTTATCTATTCTCTAAATTTTAGTTGTTTCAGTATTTGTACCAATTATAATAGTACATATTCTTATTTGCGTTACCTGAAAAACAGTAAAATAGAAATAAAGTACAACTTGAGAAGAAATATTTCTGTATGTATAAAGAGGTATTTATTCATGATCGTGTAAAATTCAACTGCATATAGTTGAATTTTATCGCACTACATGACGACTACTCTCGCACACTGCGTTTTGTCAGACGTAATATTGTGGCATTTAAATTGTCGTTAATCGGATGCTCATTGCAATAATCCGACAGATACGTAACAATACGAAGGACAAACAATTTAACTTGCCATAATATGTAACAATTCGATGAGTGAGCTCAACAATATGGATTGCATCACCAACCGATGAGCAAGCTGCAACTCGACGAATAACAATATGACAATTTTCTTACATATATATTATCAGTCTACAAATTTATACTAAATTTTTGCTCATGTAAAAGTTGAACACGAATCGTCGTAACAAATACCCGCAACATTATATGTCATGCATTCACGCGATCGTTGCACGCAATATATACAACATTCTAAGATTAAAAATTCATCAATCTCACACAGGATTCATACCGCACAGCTATGGATCTTTTGCTCATACTTATGTTAATTCCATTTTGGTATAAGCATTTTGGTATATGTATTGGATCGCGTTCTTAATTATTCGATGTAGGTTGAAAACCTAATCAGAATCGGGATCTTTTAATGACTGAATTATTCGCGTATCTTCGCTCTCTGTCTTTTTATTTTATTGTCTACCAAAAGTTTGTGAAACTCTGCTGCAGCGTTCCAAAGCTCTATAAAAAAACGTCAAATATTCTGCACCTTATTAAAATTGAGCAAATCTACAATACAGCAACAATAAAGAAGTATCAATATTTTGCAGAAACTTTAACAAATGCTTAGAAACGATTGTTATTAAATCATTTGGATTATTAACGCTATTATTGCATACGTGTAATATATATGTATATATATATATATATATATATATATATAAAATACACTGACTTATCGCTTCATAACATGTGACATGATCGTATGCGTATTATGTACAACTCGAGTGATATTTTCACAGGTAATTTGATACGACTTGATACATGTGTTAAATTCATATCCGAGATCCTATCTCAATTTTCGAATTCGGCCAGATTTTAATCACATATTTAAAACGCGATACTGGTTAATTTGTGTAGCACGAGCTGTGATACTACTTTTAAAGTAGTACAAGTCCTTGGAAAAATAATCTTAGCTTTATACGAATATCTCAGAGTGACTTAGTGATATTGTTAAACAATCGTTTGCCCCACCAAGATTCCAAATCAAACGGTTTAAAGTCTGAAAAAATTTATTTTTTGTCATTTACTTTGTACAATCAATTACAGTAGATAATATAACAGAAGAATATTATTTATTCCTAATGGTGAATAGTAATATCGCACTTACCTTGCAGACTATTGTTTGGTTCACCATCATTGTAATATACTATTGAATCCTTAGGACCTAGTGTATAAAATATTAAATTATATAATCTAGAATGTCTTTCTTTTTAATAAATATAATGAGTATGAGCACATATACATGTATACATATATACATGTATATATGTATATATGCACATACATGTCTTAATCACAAATAAATCATAATATGTACAATAGAGACATAACAATAATTTTTCACGAGAAATAAAAAATAGAAAAATCTTTTAGAAAAAAATTGTATACTTAAAATATTAAAAAAAAAAATTTCTGATAGAGATGTATCTACATGTTTTAGTTGGTTGTACATATATATTGTTACTTACTGCAAAGTTCTGCACATTCTGTATCATCGCAACATTCATTTCTTTGCAGTGTATTAACTTGATTCCATGCTATTAAAAATAATAAACAAGCAGAAGTAATATATTTAGTTCAACATTGGAAAAAATACATATATGAGCACACATATTTTTTTTCGACTGAAGTGTCATTTTCATTATTTTTTTCATACTTACAAAACTAACTCTACGCTTTATTTCAAACATGTATGTAAAATACTTTCTTACTTACATTCATAAATAAATTTGATAAGTTCCTCATGCTGTGGAGTGATAACTTGTTGCATCTGATGTCGTTGTGAGATGAGCTTGGATTTTCCATTCATATGGAAGACTGGCTTTGGTATGTGACTGTGAATATGAAATATATATATGTATGTATATATATGTGTATGCATGTATATATATATATACATATATATATATATATATATAGAAGCTTTATTACAGACATAGCATACAAGTATAATGGAGCAAATAGTTATTTTTCGTCATATATGTTTATTATACACATGCAATCTTACGCAATACGCAATGAAATGCGAAGAAACAAAATTATTTAATTGTCCTAGGAAATACAAAGAAAAATCAGTTTCAATAGATATATTTGTACGTTTCGTTAGATATACTCTATTAGGAATTTTAACGCATCAATTATGTTAATCGTTTGACAATTTTACAGAACAAATTCTGATGAATTGCATAATATCGAAAGCAACGGTGGCTGCTCAGCGGAGGAGAGTAATGTGAAAAAGTTGCGCCGAAAGGGGTTAGAGCGCCGCTCTCTCTCACCAGGTGATCTCGTGATCGTCTTCGATATCGGTTTTCCTCGTCAAATCGCGCAAAGTTTCCAGTCTTTCGAGATTCTGACTGATCCCTACGAAAAGCGAAAATTCAATTTGGAAACTCCAAACCATAATCTACAATTGTCGTCTAGGCTAGCTAGGCGGCATTGAGAAATCCAAATTTAGAGTACCTCGTCGTGTTTTCGCTACAATCTTGCTAGGTCCTTTTGATACGGTATACATGTTCCTCGTTCGGATAAGCGTGAAAGTTTCTTTTCGCGAACGCAATGCCAGGTCATCCGCGATCAATCGTCACGCCTGTCGCGTGTTCTCGAGCGATTCGTTACTGCTCGTTGCTACTCAGTCTCAGTAGGCTTAATAATTTCGCGTTAGTCGATTGAAATAAACTGCCTGAAACTGTCGATTACCGAATGATGTCGAATGCCTGAATGCCGATATTGCCAATTCAGTAAGGTTAAACTTTAAAGTCAGTTGAAACGAAGCCAGCAGTGATTGCCGGCTTACTACTGCTCAAGTGCTCGCAACTCGCAAGTCGCGCAAGACTCATCACACAGTCTTACTTTACCCTTACCCTCTTACCCATCTATCGCGATTTACGATTACGAAATCGCTGATCACTCCCGCTCTCATCAGGCGTCATCAGCGCAGCCCATGACGATGAACTGCACTAACAAATATCTATTCCAATAAATATACTCACGAGTGGAATATATTTATGCTCCCCACAATACTCCCATCAATATGTACTAGATATTAGACGTTCTAGTTCTATCGCTATTCCGTACACCGTGGTAAGAAAAATCATTTTTCAATTTCTACAAACTCCCTATAAAAATTATTCTCACTATGTTTTAATTTTTAATTTTATATTTCTAATGAGTTCGTATAGAGTAGAAAAAGAGGGAGAGAGAGAGAGAGAGAGAGAGAGAGAGAGAGAGAGAGAGAGAGTTTAATGCGTTGCATATATAATTATTTTTAAGATAATGCAAATATTGTCTTATATTTGAAAATGTATTAGGAATGTGTGCAAGAAATACAAAAATACAAAGAAATTTAGTCGTGATGCACAGTTTTATTCTCTGCGTAAATCAAGAGTACAGATTATCCTTATTAACTTTGAGTTCAGTTAATACAGGCACCGCAGGTGTACTTGTTTTTTAGCCATCTATTTGCACTAAGTACGCATAAATACAATAAAAACGCAAATATAAGCAAATATAAGATAGGAAGTATAGTATTATGAATAATAATATAAATGTTAGGACAATCGATAAAACTATAAAATTCGAGAGAGAGAGAGAAAGTTTTTCATTCTTTTTTTCGGAATTACAAATAACATAGGAAGTTAAAAAAATCTCTAATTACCAATATTACTGTTGCGTTTATAATCATTTCTCAGAATATATTACTCATTTATAATATATTATTACACATAACTGCAGTAATAATAGCAGTAATAATAAATTCATGCTACTAATTTATATTAATCTATAATAGTAAGGTCTCTACAAAGTCTCTATACAATAGTAGGAATTACAATAGTAAAAATAATAATAAATCTGTAAAATGTATCTCTGTGTATATAGAATGTTAAACAGCTGAGAGACAAAATTTACTTCAACATAGAAAAATAGTTTATCAATATATAGATAAGATTGATTATTCATTTGGATATTCGTCCAAATATCCGATCCATTAATCCGAAAATTTCATCTAATTTGCGAATTTCACGCTTAATTCGCCGCTTTGAGGCAAAATTTATCATAATAAAACCTGTTGCGATATATTGTATAATCTGGATATTTTTTTTCCATGGACGCATTGTTGCTTATGTACAAATGTAAATTAATCCTTAACATGCTATTATTACATAATAATCAATTGTAATGATTCAGAGAACAACTTTAAAGCAACTTGTCTATCATATTAATACGTGTGTGTATGACCACAATTTTATAATTGAAACAATATCTCAGACATGATTGCATACAATCAGT